TCCGCAGGCAGCCAGGCTCAGCCGCTGCTCAGGAGGCCCTGGCTGAAGGCTGCGGGCTGAGGGCTGAGGTCTGCAGGCTGAGGTCTGCGGGCTGCGGGCTGCGGGCTGCGGGCTGCGGGCTGAGGGCTGAGGGCTGAGGGCAGAGGGCAGAGGGCAGAGGCAGCTAGGCCCTTCCCTGCAGCTCTCTCAGACTCTGGCCCACTTCGGCCCACATGGAGACCTCCCCCAGCTCTGTGCCGCGGCCGTCCTGTCACCAGGTTGTCACCACGTGTCTGGTCGCTCCTTGCAGACCCCAGACGTGCTCCTGGAGGAAGGGCTGTGCACGTCGGCCCTCCCGGCACTGTGTGTGACACGGACGACACACCAGCTACATTGGGACGTGTTTGTGACAGGAGAGCGCTGGAGTGAAATGCTTGAGTCTGAACTGAGCCTCCAGGAAGGTCAAGTTACACACGGGAGTTAACTTCTCAATCAGCACTACTTAGATCATCTGAGAAGAGTCGGGACCTAAGGAAATCCTCAGTGGACCTCAGGCCGCTGAGCTGGGTCGGCTGGTGGGGAGGTGAGGCCTGGTCGCGGCCCTGGTGAGAACTCTGCCCTGGGGAAGGCAGGCGGGCAGCCGTAAACCTTCACGTGGCCTGCACTGACCCCCACAGAGGCCCCGTCCTGGGCACAGGGGAGGACAGAGAGTCAAGGAGCACAGTCAGGACCTTCTGCTGCAACCCTGGACAGGTTGTTCCAGGCTCCAGCTGCCGTGGGCTTGGCGGGACCGCTCTGGGTCCCAACATGCAGGGAGGAAGCGCCACCAGTAGGTGAATGTCCATACAAAGTGGCAAAGAGAGGAAGAAGACGGGTGCCTGGGACCAGCAGGCGGCATAAAGGCCACGTCGCTGCACTCCCATGTAGTCGACTACAGTTCGAGTCCCAAACCCAGTGGCTTAAAACTCACACCAGACACATGTGCATGCATGCCCGCCCAAGATCCCGAGAAGAGAATACAGAGGGGATTGTGGTGTGGCCATTCCCCCAGGGGCTGACTTCTCACTTTCTGTCTCTCTGTCTCTATCTCATTGATGAGCACATGTGTCCTATAGCAAAAATTTCTCTAAAAGAAGAACCTGGGTGTTTGCAGTCACATCAGAAATACCCCACAGGTGCCCGAGCACTGGGATGGTGGATAGGAAGCAGGAAGTGGGGCGGACGTGGTGGGAACATGGTGGAGACAAGGTGGGGTCGTGGTGGGGACGAGGTGAGGACGTGGTGGGCACTCCATGTAAAGCTGGGGCCCCGCGACCTTTGGGTGGAGCCACTCAGCCCAAGGCCAAACCCCGGCGGCCACCATACTGGGTGTCTGTAAAATAGTGACGCCGTGCCCAAACAGCATGGCCTCCTCTGGTGGGTGTTTCTGTGCCTCGGAAGCCATGGAACTGCGAATGCTCTGCCGTCTGTTGCTCAGAGGTGCTCTCCAACCCTGCGGGGGTGTCCACACTGTACCTCTGACGGCCACGTTTTCCTGGGGAGTGTTCTGGTGGTGGTTGAGGTGCACTGGTTTTGGGGTTTGGTTTGTTCTTTTTTGGAAACAAGTTTCCTTGCG